GGGCGGCCTTGCGCTGGGCCCTGGCTTAGCACCTCGTCTGTCCGCGGCTCAGGTTCTCGGTCAACAAGCGCATCTTCGTGGTGGGCTTCGGGCTCTACGGCTCCATCCACGGGCCCACGGATTACCAAGTGAACATCCAGGTGCCCACCCCGTGTCCTGCCCCCCATCAGCCTGCTCGTGGGTTACAGACTCCGTGCGGCTCGCCCTCCGTGGGGTCCTGCGGGGGGGGGCGCGGGGGGCCCTGGTGAGCAGCAACCGCTCCCGCCCCCACAGATCATCCACACGGACAGCAACACTGTGCTGGGCCAGAACGACACGGGCTTCAGCTGCGACGGCTCCGCCAGCACCTTCCGGGTCATGTTCAAGGAGCCCGTGGAGGTGCTGCCCAACGTCAACTACACGGTCTGCGCCACGCTCAAGGTGTGCCTCTCCCCGACCCCGTCAGGACCCCGACCCGCAGTCGCGGGGCTGTAGGGCGCGGCCATCGCCACGGGGGGTAGGACACCCTCGGGAGGGGCTCCGCCGCCCCCCGCCCTGCTGGGGCCCCAGGGTGCCTGACTGCTGGGACCCCGTCCCCCCTCCCCCAGGGCCCGGACTCCCACTACGGCACCAAGGGCCTGCGCAAGGTGACCCACGAGTCCCCCACGACGGGGGCCAAGACGTGCTTCACCTTCTGCTACGCGGCGGGCAACAACAATGGCACGTCCGTGGAGGACGGCCAGATCCCCGAGGTCATCTTCTACACCTAGGCCCCCAGGCCCCCGACGCCACCTGGTGCGAGGAGGCCGCGTGTGCGCTCCCTGCCCCGTTTCTGGGCGTCAGGAGAGGGTCACTCCCGTGGCGAGCCTGGCTGGCTGCTCAGAGGAGCCGGGCAGGGGCTGTGAGACCGGCCCCCAGGAATTGGGGCGGGGGGGGGGGCGGGAGGCAGGGCTGGCCTGGACCCGCTCTGGGCGGAGGGTCCGCCGGGTCCTTGGGCGCGGGAGTCCTGCACGCCGTCCCTGCAGCCCGGGGCTGCCTGACCTCAGGCTTCAGACAGGATCTGTCTCATGTTTGTCCGGTCTCAGCGCACATGGCAATGCATCTTGGATCCCCACTCCTCGGGTAGGAGATAGTCTGTGGGGGCGCCCCTAGTGCATTTGCTTGGGGTCTCGGGTTCTGGTCTATTCACTGGGGATGCTTAGGCCACCCCGGCCCCCAACACACTGGCCTCGGCCCCCGCTTGAGGTCCTGCAGGTTGGCTTTCTGCCAGGCCCGGGCACACCCAGTGGGCCCAGTGAAGGGCCACCCTCTTCCGGCCCCTGCAGCCACGGGCATGGATCGCAGACCCCCGTCTGCCCGGGCAGTGCTGTGGGTCCGCTGTGGCGGCCAGGTCCCCAGGTGGCCCGCCTGCCCCCCACCTTGTACATACTGCAGCCCTGCCCCCCTCAGCCTCTGAGTGAGCACTCTGGCCAGAGGTGCTGGAGGGTGCAGCCCCTCCCCCAAGGCCCTCCCGCCTCCCCACGTGTGTTCCCACCCCAGTGATTCCTTCTGGAAACTGTCCTCCCCAAAGCCATGGAAGGTGTGCCCTCCTCACACCATACCCCCAAATAATTTTTTTAAATAAAGGAATGAAATGTAACCGCCCTGATCCGTGTGCTTCTTCATGTTGGAGGTGGTGGGACAGGAGCCTGGCAGCTTTGAGATCTGGCTCTTCTCTCTGCAGCTGCTTCCCCCACCGTAAGATTGGGGGGCCCATGGAAGAGCCTTCTGCCCGTGTCTGGAATCACAGTCTCCTGACACAGACGTCCCCACCTTGAGGCACCCAGTAGCGTTGGGGACCCTCCCCATGCCCTCTGTCCTCTGCACAAACTTCTGGTTTGCCCATCCTGCCCCTGCTGTCCAGCAATGGGGGACCCCAGGGAAGGCTCTGCCCTCTGGACCTGGGGCTGTGCCTGGCACACAGTAGGTCCCTAGGCCGTGCCTGTGCATCTCGGGTAACCTGACCCGGCTTCCCCACTTGGCTCTGCTCCATGTGTCAGGGAATCCCCAAGAACAGGCAGAGAGAGAACAGGGCCTGATAGCTAAGAATTTTCCAAAATGAGTAGACATCAATCCATACATTTAAAAATCTGTGACCCAAAGTGAGATTAAAAAAAAAAAAAACAAAAAACTCACATATACTCAAACTGCTAAAAACCAAAGGGAAAAAAAAATCTTAAAAACAGGAGAGGGGCGCCTGGGTGGCTCAACTGGTTAAGCATCTGACTCTTGGTTTTGGCTCAGGTCATGATCTTGGGGTTGTGAGATCGAGCCCTGTGTCGGGCGGGCTCCACTCTCAGTGTGGAGTCTGCTTCTCCCTCTGCCTCTCCCCTAACTCATTAGCGCACGCTCTCTCTCAAATAAATAAATCTTAAAAAAAAAACTACCACCAAACTAGAATTCTATGCCCTTCAAAAATGAAAATAAAGATAAATGAAGCTAAAAGAAAAACAGCAAGACGGGGGACCAAAACTCAACTATGTCAATTATGTTAAACGTATACAGATCTAAACACTCCAATTAAAAGATAAAGACTGTCAGACTGGATACAAAACCAAAACTAAACTAGTTCCTAATTACCAGAGTCTCACTTTAATTACAAAGAAACAGAAAAACTGAAGGTAAAAGGTGCTAAGTTTCACTACACAAACTAACCTTAGAAGAAAGTGGGTGTGTCTGCATCACTGTCAGGCAAAGGGGGCTCGAGGGCAGCAAGTGCTACTGGAAGGGTGGGACATCTCAGCGATGAATGGGTCAACTCGAGGGGAAGAAAGAACAGCCCTAAGTGTATGCACCATAGCACGGGTTTGAAATTGCTAAATCCAGAGTCAGCAGAACAAAACGAGAAACTTCTAATCCTAGTTGGAAATGAACACCATCACACCCCCTCAATGAGAAAGATTTCACCTGATCAGCATCCGTAGAATGCTGCACTCTCATGGCAGTAGAATCAAACCAGAAATAAATCATAGGAAGGTAAAAACATGTTTACATAAATATAGGCTAAAAAGCCATATGGAAATTAGGAAATATTTTGAACTGAAATTAGGAAATATTTTGAACTGAACAATAATCTGATAGTACTATTCCAAAATTGTAGGATCCTGTTAAAGTGGAATTGGGAAATTTATATTTTATGCACAGATTAGAAAAGAAGAAAGGTTTAAAACCAAAGGTCTAAGTTTTCATCTTAAGAAACGAGAACAACAGCAAATTCGATCCCCAAAATGGGAAATAAAATGCTGAGACCAAAAATGAAGCAGAAAATGAATGAGATACAAAACAAACCATTAGCTGCTTTCTTGATGGAATCCTAGCAAAAACAAAAACATTTTTTTTAAGAGCGAAAAACCCAAGAATGATGTCAAGACTGAAAAGGGGACAGCACTACAGACCCTACAGATACTGAGGACACAGTAAGAGGGGTTATTTCTGGTTAGGATATAGACAGTCACGGCAGACTGTAACTTTGGTTAAAAAAAGACAAGACAGATGCACTACAGAAATCACATATAGGTACAGCCACTATTGCAAACAGAATTGGAGGTTCCCCAAATAATTTAAAATAGAAATATACAATGCAGCAATTCCACCTCTGGGTGTACATCCAAAGGAAATGAAATCAGTATCCCAAACACCTGCACTCCCACGTTCAGTGTGGCATTACTAACAAAACATGGAAATGAAGTGTCATGGGCGGATGAATAAAGAAAATGTGGTATGTAGTGTGTATTATTCAGTATTTATTTATTTATTTATTTATTTACCTAGCTAGCTAGACAAAGACAGAGAGACAGAGAGTACAAGCAGGGGGGGCAGAGGCAGAGGGAGAAGCAGGCTCCCCGCCGAGCAAGGAGCCCGATGTGGGACTCCATCCCAGGACCCTGGGATCATGACCCGAGCCGAAGGCAGCCACATAACTGACTGAGCCACCCAGGAGTCCCTATTTAGCCTTTTTTTTTTTTAAGAAAAGCTCTGCCATTTGCAACAACATGCATGACATTATGCACACAAAGGCAAATGCTGTATGATCTCTTACATGTGGAATCTAAAACTAAAACTGAACTCCATAGAACCAGAGAGTACATTGGTGGCCAGGGGTGGGGGAAATGGGCAGATGATGGTTGGCGGGGGGGTACTAGGTCTGTTACAAGATGCACACATTCTGTGGGTGCACTGTACAGCCTGGTGACTACAGTTAGCACAGTCCTTATACCTGAAAGCTGCTAAAAGGGGAACCTTGTATTTTCACCATATACACACACACAGTCAACTCTGTGAGCTGATGGATGTGTTAATTACCCTGGTTGTGGGGGATCCTATACAATGTCCTATTGTATGCATGTATCAGGCCACATCGAACATCCTAAATTTTTAAAAAAGTTAAAAGAAATATTTAATTGTAAATATATCAAAGGGATGTGGATGCCAAGGAATCTAGAGAGGCTAGGTTTCAGGGGAAGAACCACCGCCCAGAGAGCAGAGGCCAGCAAGTGCCCCCCAGAAGCATATCCTTGAGCTGGGTGTCCTGTGGGTAGGGCATTCTCTGCCAAAGAGAAGCCAGCTGGGGCTGACGCCTGTGTGGGCTGGCAAAACGAACCAGAACCTGGAGGTGCTCGAAAAATGGCAGGTTTTCTCCCATGGGATTTTGCTTAGTGCTTGGCTGGTGTTGCAGGGTGGGTGGGGGTGGAAAGGCAGAGTGAAATCTGTGGTCTCTCCATGCTTGGAAATCAGAGTCCTGCTAGAACTCAGGGCTGGCAATAAAAACAAGGCAGCTCAAGACATGAATAAAGTTCAAGACTGGGCGCCTGGGTGGCTCAGTTGGTTAAGCAACTGCCTTCGGCTCAGGTCATGATCCCGGAGTCCTGGGATCGAGTCCCACATCGGGCTCTCAGCTCAGCGGGAAGCCTGCTTCTCCCTCTGACCCTCTCCCCTCTCATGCTGTTTCTCTGTCTCTCTCTCTTTCTCTTATAAATAAATAAATAAATAAGTAAGTAAGTAAGTAAGTAAGTTCAAGACCTGAAAACTAGAGGTGACCCAAAGCTCAAGTGGAAACCCAGCCTGATCAGCCGGCCAAGTCCGTCATCCAGGCCAGCCAATACAGGAAGGAGTGTCCTCTTGCTGGGGGCGGGCAAGTGGGCCTGGCTTCTCAGTGTTCAAACACATGTTTGGAATGCAAAAACAATTCTGAAATGTAAAGGAGGAAAATGTACTCTATAATCAAGAGGAGAAGAAAACAGCCAATAGAAGCAGACCTACAGGGGCCCCAGATGTTGAAACTAGAGGTCAAGGACTATTACGTCACTGCTCTACATCTGTTAAAGAATAAAGACAGTGGGGCAGAGGGACGAAGGAATGGAGGATTTCAATAGAGAAACAAGCTCTACAAACACAAGTGGAAACTTTAGAACTAAAAAATACCTAAAGAATATATTGGCTACGGGGCACCTGGGTGGCTCAGTCGGTTAAGCATCCGCCTTCAGCTCAGGTTGTGATCCCAGGGTCCTGGAATCAAGTCCCATGTTGGGCTCTCTGCTCAGTGGGCCTGCTTCTCCCTTTCCCTCTGCCTGCCTCTCTGCCTACTTGTGCTCTCTCTCTGTCAAATAAATAAAATCTTTTAAAAAAATTATATATTGGATAGCTTAAGAGCACACAAAGCACCACCAAAAAAAAAAAAAACAAAAACAAAAAAACAGGACTAATAAAATCCAAAGACATGTCAAAATTATCCAAACTGGAAGCACAAAGGAAAAAAAAAAAATAGAAAAACATAAAACAAAACCAAACCCCCAGAGTATCAGAGACCTTTGGGGTCAGATAAGATGGTCCTACACATAGATAACTGGAGTCCTGAGGGCAGGGGGAAGCTCGGAAAAACACACTCGACGAGCTAATAGCAGGAAATCTTCCAAAGCTGATGAAAGACACCAACCCACAGATCTAAGGAGCTCAGCAGATTGCCCTGCAGGATAAATACAAAGAAAACCACACATCATAGCCAAATGACTTACACACACAGTCTTACAAGCAGCCAGACAAAAAGGTACAGGACTTTGAAGTGAACAACGATGACAATTCACCTCACATCAGAATCAACCGAATGACATCTTTAAAATGCTCGAGAGCAAAAAACCCAAAACACACCCCACAAAAAACCAAGTCCACCTGCCAACCTAAAACACCCATCTCAACAAAACACCCATCGTTAACGCAGACTAAATATTCTCAGGCAACCAAAACTTGTGAGACTCTGCTGCCCAAAAACCCACACTACAGAAACCACTAAAGGCAGTTCTTCAGGCTAAAAGGAGAGGACACGAGACGGAATCCCTGGCGGGCAAGAAGCCAGGAAGAGCACTTGGAGTCAGCACACGGACATGTGTGTGTATAGAACACACACACACAAAAGTGTATTCACAATTACATAACAAATGTAACAGGGAACTGTGGGCTTATAACATTCGTCAGAAATAAAAGAAATGGCAAAAATAGCACAGAAGTGGGGTCAGTGGAAACAGGAAATATCTGTGTGCACGCCAACATGCATCCGCACGTCCCTATTTTTGCATTTATCCATCTGCTTCTATATTAGGAGCCACAGTTTGAGCCCACCCCTCTGGCTCTAACCCAACACCCCGGGGCTCAAGCCGGTCTCCTTTCTCGGGCTTGAGCTTACAGCTGGGTTTTCTGTGCTTCTCTCTTTCAGTCTTGGGTGTATGTGCTCACCCGCAGTCACAGCCCACCCGCCCCCCAGGCGAGCGTTCACAGGGCTGCAATGCTGGGCACGGGCTTTCTGAGGCCCTGCTACGAAGCACGGCCTGGTGGCACGTGGACCCTCGGCTCATGCCCGTTTTACTGAGCTTTTCAAAAGGCTGCTCTGTCAGCCCTTTGCATTGTGTGTCGGTTTGGAAAGTCTCATTGCTAAACCCTCTCGCCCTGGCAAATTACCTTCTTCCCGCCAGCAGGCCCCAAGGACCATCGTCATCTTTGAAACAGAGTCGTTTTACTAGGAGACGCCTTGTAGGTGGCTATTCTCTCTGTTTCTTAGGTGCCCATTCAGTGTGGAGGTTTGGGGTTTTCCCTCCATCTGGAGGAAACACTAGCTCCGATTTGCTTCTTCAAAGGCCCTGCTAGCGTGGAGTTCCTCCGTGGCCCCTTGTGCTTCCTCTCTTTTCTTGTTCCGCTTCTGTGCCCTTCCATGAATCTTTCTTGGAGTCCTGGGCACCCTGCAGAATATTCCCCGTTTCTAAAGTCATCTTCCCCCTCCTACATTTCCTTCCTGAATTCAAGCTGTTTCCACTTCTGGTTTTTGCCCATTTCTGTCTTTAGTTTTTGAATTTCTGATCCAAGATGATTTTCACAAAAGTCTTCGAATGCTGTTGGGAGCCATTCTCGCCGTCTTCTTCAGCTTCAAAATTACCTACCCAGGGAGGCTGGGAGTCCCCTGGTCAAACTCCCTGGTCTGTAGTGTGCAAGGCCAAGGTCTGGTTTTGTTAAGAATTCACTCCCTTTGGGGCGCCTGGGTGGCTCAGTCAGTTGAGCGACTGCCTTCGCCTCAGGTCATGATCCTGGAGTCCCGGGATCGAGTCCCGCATCGGGCTCCCTGCTCGGCGGGGAGTCTGCTTCTCCCTCTGACCCTCCCCCCTCTCATGTGCTTTCTCTCTCTCATTCTCGCTCTCTCAAATAAATAAAATCTTTAGGGCGCCTGGGTGGCTCAGTTGGTTGGGCGACTGCCTTCGGCTCAGGTCATGATCCTGGAGTCCTGGGATCGAGTCCCGCATCGGGCTCCCTGCTCGGCAGGGAGTCTGCTTCTCCCTCTGACCCTCCTCCCTCTCATGCTCTCTGTCTCTCATTCTCTCTCTCTCAAATAAATAAATAAAATCTTTAAAAAAAAAAAAATTAAAAAAAATAAATAAATAAATAAAATCTTTAAAAAAAAAAAAAGGATTCGCTCCCTTTGCTTCTGGCCACATCAATCACTCAAAGACCCCTTACAGGGGCACTAGTCCCACCAGGGGGGCTCCCCCCCAACATGACCTCACCTAACCCTCATCACCTCCAAAGACCCTGTCCCTAACACCGTCCCACCCCACTGGGGTTAGGTTGTCAGCGTATGAACGTTGGGGGAACACATGCAGTCTGCAGCATCCACCAGGGAGATCTCTTTTCCTCTGCGCTGCATTCAAGGCAACTGGTGAGGCTGTCCCGGGGCTCCCCACTTTGTCAGGTGCACTGGAGACCCAAGCATCCAGCTGCAGCTGCCCACCCCCCCATTTCTCCTGGAAGAACAAGCCACTTCGTTAGGGTTTCTAATGTGTTTGTGTGAAGCCAGGCCCAAGGGGACCTGTCCCTTACCTGTCCTTCGCTCTCATCTTGACTAGGTTAACAGCAGTGTCTCCAGACCCCAAACACAACCAAGCCCCGCTCCAACACTGACCAGAGTTCTCGGTTCTCTTGTTCTGACCGTCCATGTCTCTTGAGCAAGGGGTTACCCCCTGAGCCTGCCCCTCCCAGGAACGTAAGCATCTCTGCTGCCATTGCTGCTTCAGTCAAGCCTCTTGGAAACACCGGACACCACACTCAGGAGTGCTTTCATTTTCCTTTATTTTTTTAAAAAAGCCCCTAAACTCTATGGCTTCCAGGAAGCATCAGAGAAACCGAAGTGCCATTTCTGTACACCGTGTAAAGCAAGACCTAGACACACACACCGCTGCCAGGCCTTCCCCGGCTGCTCCACCCTGAGGCAGCGTGGGCCCTCCGGGGGGGGCCCAGAAGGACCACACTCCCACCAGGGCTGCCCGGCCCTGGACGCGCCTGCAGGGCTGGGACAGGGCTTTAAGGCGCTTGTCTCCTGCTGGTCCGCCGGCGGCGTGGAGCACAGACACGAGAAGCCCACGCACACCCGGGCACAGACCGTGGCCCGAGTGCCAAGCAGGAGGCCGCCCCCGGGGCTCCGGGACCCTGGACACAGCTCCACGAGCAGGTGTGGCAGGAAACCCTGCGGGGCTGTGCCCGCCGGCCCAGGCTTTGGTGCAGCATTTTGGTTTGGGGGGCCTCCCCCACCCCGTCTTCCCCCATGGTGCAGGGAGGCCCAGGGCAGGCTCACCCCGGCAGCAACGCCCACAGCACCCCCTCGAGAAAACGGCCTTTGGATCGAGGGAGACAAGCTGGACTTTATGAGACTAATGGGACGGGCGGCCGACTACTCACTTCAGCAGGCGGGCGAGAGGGGCGCAGGGCAGGGTGGCCACCGTTTCTCTTCTCCTTGTTTGAAATAGTTAATGCTCTTGGAGGGGAGGACCAGACACGGGCGTAGAAATTTCGCAAAGTCTCATGTGAAGGAAGTGACCCCGCGTGGGGGGCGGGCAGCCGCGGCTGGCCCTGCAGTCTGTCCTGGCTGTGGGCCACGTGGCCGGGGCCAGGCTTGCCGGGGGCGCTGCGGCAGGAGGGTCCAGGGCGCCCGGGCCCAGCATCACTTGTGACGCTGCACTGCTTTTCTCTTCCTTCTCTTGAAAAAACAGCAGCACCTGCACAGGGTGGGCGAGGGAACACGGACATGGGGCCGGTGGTGGGGAGGGGGCCCACGGTGTCCCCACGCCCGGCTGCTGCCCGGGGCCTTACTTGGTGTCATCGGCCACCTCCACCTCCGCGGGCGCCGTGATGGGAGCATTGGAGTGCCCGGCAGTGGGGTCGTCCGCGTTCAGCTCCCCGTTGGTGGAGTTCAGCGCCTGGGTTGGGGGAGGCAGCAGGGGGGTCAGGTGGGCCCTGCCCCACCGCCCCCATGGTCGGGGTCCTTGGCCCAGCCCCTCACCTGGTTTTTGCTGTGTAGCTGGGCTTTGTCCCGAGGCTGAGGCTGCGAGGGCAGGTCGGAGTGGACCGTGCCGATGGGCGTCGGCTGCAGGGGGCAGGACGCAGCGCTGAGGCCGGGCAGCCTACTCCCTCCCACCACGCACCTGGGGTCCCATGGGCATGGAGCACCAAGGCTCCCGGCCCCACATCCTGGGGCCTCACCCACTGCAGGAACCAGGGCTCTAGCGGTCCGGGGACCCCCACGTACCAGGGGCTTCCCCGCCCAGTCGTACTCATAGTCGAACACGAAGCCGCTACGGTCGAAGAGGTCGCTGAAGAGCTTGCGCAGGTAGTCGTAGTCCGGCTTCTCGAAGAAGTCCAGGCGCCGCACATAACGCAGGTAGGTGGCCATCTCCTCTGTGGAGAGCCAGCAGGGGCCCCCGAGTCAGTGGGGCCCGGGGGCGGGGGGTCGGTGGGGCCCGGGGCCGTGGGGCTGGGGCGCCCCTCACCTGGGAAGCTCTCGCAGAGCGCCTCGATGGGCGTGGCCCGCTTGGTGTCCCCGATCTTCTGATAGCGTTCCTTGAGCGTGTCGGCCTGTGGGGGGAGCGGTCAGCCGACACCGACCCACAGGCCCCCCGCCCGCACCCCCGGCCCCGCGCCCACCTTGAGCCCCTGCCAGGGCAGGCTGCCACGCAGGAAGTACATGAACATGTGGCCCAGCGCCTCCAGGTCGTCGCGGCGGCTCTGCTCTGCGGGGGGAGAGCAGGTCAGCGCGGCCCGCGCGCCCCCCCGCCCGGCCCACGCGCGGCTCACCCTTGCCCAGGTGCGTGTTGATGCTCATGTAGCGCGCTGTGCCCGTCAGGCTCTTGTGCTCCCGGTAGGGGATGTGCTTCTTGGTCTCGGGGTCGATGTACTCCTTGGCCAGGCCGAAGTCGATGATGTGGATGGCGTGCTGCCGCTTGGTGCCCGGCCGCCCCACCAGGAAGTTCTCGGGCTTCACGTCGCGGTAGATGAGGCTCTTGGTGTGCACGTACTCCATGCGCGTGATCTGTGGTGGGCAGGGGGGCTCAGGGCTGTCCCCTCGGCCC